TACCTGCTATCACTACAGCAGTGCATACCGACTGTGGCGGTACATGCTATCACTACAGTAGTACATGCTGACTCTATAGCAGTATTTATCGACTCTATAACACAAAGTAATCACTTGACAGAGTGGCGTGGTGAGGCCTAATCCCATGCAGAGCCTCCGGCCTCGCCTAGATTGTCCAGCCGGCCGAGGTGAAACCTTGGCAGGCTGGGGCTGGGCTGCTACCCCTGACTCCCCCCCCCCAGGCACGATATCCCCGGCCGCTCTGCAGTAATATCTACGGCCTATAGTGGTAGCATGTACCGACTGTATAATAGTAATAACTGCACGCATTGGGGTGGAGGGGACATGAGACAGTGAAGAATTTACCTGAGCGTTTAGTGTATTTTAAGGGATTTTTTACGCGAAAGAAAATGTCCCCCTCACTCCTACCGAAGGCGTGCAACTTGGCATGGGCCGTCCTCCCCACCAAAGGCACGTGAGTTGGTATGGTCGTGCACACATCATAAATACATAAATGGAAGCACACACAAATAGCACTAAATTGAATTAAACTAATTTAAAGTTGACGGATGTGAAAAAGGAATAGCGCTTGCTCACCGCAGGGCTTACGGCGTGGTACCTGGCTATTTTTTTTTACGTCAACCCCACCGTTGGAGAGCCAAGCGCGTGACCACACACAAACCCTGCCACAAACAAACCCCACCACAAACCCACACACACAACCTGCCACAAACCCACACACAACTTTCGACTTTTATATAGATAGATGATTTATTGTTAAGTGAACAAAAATTTTAGTGTTAAGTGGCTCTTAAGGCTCTTTGGTGGGTCAACTATTAGTGGAATGTAGGCTAAATTGCTGAAATTGACACCACCAGAGGATAGTTAAAAATGTCTGTCTTCTATAACTTGATGTGGGTTTTACCTGATAGATTAGTATTGGGACCTCAAATAAACCATATGTGAATTAAGAGAATGTGAGGCTTGGCATAGACAAGTTGAGAGAAACCTGTCGCCTTTGCAACCACGTTGGCGGCGACGATGGTGGGGAAAGTCGCGTGCAATAACTACTTCAACGATAGTATAGTAGGTCGCACCATGAATTTGACGCGATAGTGGACAGCTGCGCAGCGCCATCAAGAAAGCTCTAGTGACAATCCGGATCACACGGGGACCCGGATTAGGGTGAACGCTGATAAGGCGCGAATATCTCCCGTGCAGTCCTTTTGTTGGCAGTCAAAGCGTATCGTAAATGCGTGGCATTTGGAAGGTGGTGGTGACCTGGCAGGATGGACGTCGTGCAAGAAGACCACAGCCTGAACCTCTACTAACTGGCAGGAGACCCATACCAGCAGCGTTGTATTGAACTCCATGTGCTGAACTCGGCAGCCCAGTAGGCCCCCCCCCACCAAGCCAAACTCGAAGCCTGCAGGAAAAGCATTGCTAGCGATTAGATGCTCATGGTTGAAGGCCCCAACGCGCGGCATTGCCCAGGGCGGAACCCGCCGGCCAGGCAGGCCCCCCGCCGAGCCAGCCCTGATGCCCGCAGGAACTGTAGAGTGAATGATTAGACGCCCTTGGCAAAAGGCGCCGATGGGAGGCACCATAGGCAATCCCTCCCGTCAAGGTCGCCTTAATGACGCAAGCGAGTAGCAGGCGGCACGACCGCAGCACGGCGCCCATCGTCGATAGATCGTTGAGAGGCTCTTGGTAGAAGGCCTCACTTGGCGGCACCGTAAGCAGCTCCCTCGTATCCATTCCGCATCGCAGAGCGGCATGACTGAGGAGCTGGCGGTGCGAACTAAGATCGTTGAGAAGCCTTTGTTAGAAGGCCTCACCTGGCAGCACCATAAGCAGCTCCCTCGTATGGAATCCCCATCGCAGAGCGGCGCGATCGAGGAGCCGGCGGTGCAACTGAAGCAGGAGCGGGGAGCAGCGAGGCCGACGGCTTCAATGGGCCGGCGGATGAGAGCGGCAGGCGGCTAATTGCAGGGGCCGTCGCCGGAGTCGAGGTGGAACACTGTTTTTGTATAGGAATCTAATTTAGTTTTTTTTATTCTTGGCCATGAGGTCAATGTGGGTCTTGAAAGGCAGATTCAAGTCCAGGATAATGCCAGGATATATGAAGTTGTTCAGAGCCACAATGTGGGAGGGGGGCGTGGCCCGTGTCCCCCCAATGATCTGATCGAAATCCCTAATTTCGATCGGATCATTGGGGTTTAGTAATAAATCGACATTTTGCGACCCCCACTGCCACTGTGTACCCCCACTGCCACTGTGTAGCATATTATTACGTGCCAGGGTCTCTATGAGATGATAGGACAATAGGCTGAGTCCATAATTGGCAATAAGTAACGGCAAAGCAGTTATAAGTAACTCACAGAATTGTGCGCCATCACACAACGCGGTTCAAATTCGACCTTCGATCCTTACTTACTAACAACTCCTATCATTTTTCATTGCTGGAGGGGTTACCCTCTACCTGAAAATCCTGGCTCCGCCTTTGACAATGTGCATAAGTGACGAGACGGGTGCGAAGCAGCTAGAGACTAACATGGATTGGGTATATTTTTTTGCGTTGAGGACCAGTTTGACAGCATTAAGTTGAAGTTGATTAAAGTCCTGTTGTAGGTGCTGTAGCAACTCATCCACGTTGTACAATACTGGACTGTACTTCTGCGCTCCCCGCCTTGCACCCATGCTGACAAGGCGCGGTGAAGTGTGCTCATAGAGGCCCCCAACAGTAGATTGACGGGCTGCCACTTGGCACGCAGGTAAGGTAGACTAACTTGACGTCGTCGTATTGATTTAAATGTAAGCCATTGTATGTGTCCCTGCGTACTAATGGTGGAAGGTAGCCAATGCGGTACGGGACGATGTGGTAGCTGAGTGGACTTGCCGATGACCGGTACCAGCGGTGTCAAGATCGGTGACTGGCGGAGGAGGTTCGTGAAGGACGCTGCTGGGCAGTTGGAGGCAGTGGCCCATCGAACGGAGGAGCGACGCTCACAACAACGAGCGGAGTGCCGCCGGGCGGATAAAACACGGCAAGTTGGCACAGTCGGTGCATCGGTAACAACCCATGGCCTCAAGGTGCATCTAGCCTGGCACAAGTGCCGTGAGTTACACGGCAGACCCAGCTACGACTGCAGGTCGCGTGGGAGGGCTCGTGTACAAAGACCGCCCCCCGTAGCCTAAACAGACTGCAGGGGCAAGTGCTGTTCGCGAGCACCTATGAAGGCCGGCACGGCACACGAGGGGGTGGGTGGCCAGCACCATGCACGACCGCCTTTGTCTCCCACAGTGGCGATGCTTACACACCGTAACAAGTACTCATTTGAGGCTGAGTCGACCCAGGGTAGACCGGGACCGATTCAAATAATGTTGTGACAAACCTTACTAACGACACATTCATATATTTACGCGATCTAACCCCCTCAAAAAAACCTATATGATGAATGATAGTGGTCGCAAAAGCCTACACGTGTTCAGCTCAAGTAATTATCATCACCGGGGTTGGTGGCCGTGAGCGGGAATGGAACTCGGGCCGCCGGGTTCGTAGCGCAGCGCCCTGACCGTTGCGCCACCGCTCCCCCTCGCCCGCCCTCACGTGACCACGCACGTGACCACCACGCGAACCTCGCCAGCCAGGCCGTGGGCAGCCGCAGCTCGCCTTCCTTTCCGCCTTCCGTGACCCCCCTTCCCTGCGCCCATGGCGGCGTTAGCGGTGGAGATGGCGGCCCCGGGGCTCACGCAGAGCCAGGTAATAGCGAGGCCGCGAGAGCGACATGATTCACCCGGGGAGATTGTGCGACGAGTCGAGGCGGGGGGGGGGGGACCGATCTTGGCCTAGAGGCTCTGCCAGGGGGAGGCGCGCAAACCTCGGCGTGGGAGCAGGCGAGCGGCGCGCCTCGGCGGGTTCCGGGTGTGGTCGCCGCGGCTTTCGGGAGGTTGTGGCGGTAGCGGTGGGGTTGACGGTGGTGGTGGTGGTGGTGACAGGTGGTGGTGGTGGTTGTGACAGGTGGTGGTGGTGGTTGTGACAGGTGGTGGTGGTGATGATCCCGTTTCACTGTTGTGGATGATGCCGATGGTGTGTTTACCGTGATAGTGGTAATGACGCTGCTTTGTATTGACTCTGACGTGATGCTGCATGCAGTGTAGTGCGAGTGATGGTGTGTTCGCTGTGGTTGCTGGTCTGTTTACTTTAGTCATTAAGTAATGTCAACTTGTAACGCGCTGCACAGTGTTCGCTCTCGAAGCGAGAACGACGAATCGGCGCGAGGAACCACACATCGGGAAGGGAGCCACGTGTTGAATCCGGCCCCAACAATTGTCCACGTTCTGCGGTCCTCTATTAAAGTGTTATCGGCCAATTAACGAGTGATTGTTCATGTAGAAGGAACCTGGAGCACCTGCAGAAAGACCCATGGATGCGAGGGGGCAACGCTCTATCCCGTACGGATGGAGCAGGTGGAGTCCACATTTCCTGTACCGCCTTCTCTCAAGCCAGGGGCTATGACACCTCGGCGCCCACGGGAAGCGAGTTTAACAGCGTTTGTGTGATCCGTCAACCCTCCCCTCCTCCACAGTGCTGGATTACAGGCGTGTGCCACTACCACCTGGTACTGCGATGGTGTGTTAATTGTGGTGCGAATGATGGAGATGATTGTGTGTTCATTGTGGTGTGCTGATTTTTATTCACTGTCATTACCGATTCTCGTGTGTTATCACTGTTGGTGTGAAGGAGAAGACAGTGGTATGTTCAGCTGTGTTGTGGTTGAAACGCTTCTGTTTTTTTGCCCTGTATTGTATTTAATTGATGTCTGGATTGCATGTTTTCATTATTAATTTATTGTAAATTATTGTCAGTTTTATCGCTTATTTAGTACACCTTTGTTGTATTTGATAAGTACGTGCAATACCAAATGAAGATTGATTTATTGTGGCTGATTTTGAGTTGTGGCTGACGATGTGATCTGCGTGGACTTCCGCTGGCACAGCCAAAACTGCACATGGAGGCCGTGGACCTGGGCGAGTCTGGGGCCAGCGACGAGAAGAAGAAGCGGCGTGAGCGTGTGCCACGGCGCATCATCCACTTTGCGAGCGGAGAGACGATGGAGGAGTACAGCACGGACGACGAGGAGGAGGAGGAGATCTCCAAACAGCTCGCCGCCCCCACCGATCCCGTAAGCCACAGCAGCAGGGGAAACCACCGCCGGCTTTGAGCAACAATTGGTTTGGGGACTCAAGGGGCTCCGTAATAGGTCGGGCATAACAAGGATAGGGGTAAGGGGGGGACAAAATAGGGTTGGGTTATAGAAAGGATTATGGCTATTTCCTTCTGCATTTTAATAGCGGTGGTATTTTGCACTACGGGGCATTCAGGGCACCTATAAGGTATTAATTGGTGTAGAGTAATGCTTGCAGTAACTGGATGACAGGTGGTGACTGATTAGTGATGTGTGGTGGACCAATCGTCTGATTGACACTGCCTGCCAATACTCATAGACATCATTGAGTGTTATTGTGCAAAGGGATCTTGACGGATGTGTCTGTTTCTGCACTCCCTTCCACGGTGCTGCTGAAGGCAAAGTTGACGTGGGGCCCCTACCTCTGGTTTTATCTTTTCAAAACTGGAACAGGAACACTCGCTGGTAAGGCTCCTCTTATTGTAAGACACAACCCAAAACAAATATGATGCCCTTTTTGTTGCCATAAAAGCCTCAAGGAACCTAAAGCTTCTACATCATGACTTAAAGCTTTCGTGACTGCAGGAATTCATACTATTTGGGTCTTTCGGTTAAGTCACATAGATAGAAAAATTAAAATAAATCACGACGTTTCGATCGCAACACAAGCAATCGTCTTCAGGTGAAAAAATACAGCAGGCGAACTGCTGAGGCAGGAGAAATATATATTTCTCAGAGTATGTTTTTTGTTTGCATTCTGACCACAACATTGTGGTTAATGCAGACATGATTCCTTGTAAAAGGTTTCAGTTTGGTGTTTTAACATCTTAACACCTGTTTTGTTGCCAGAAAAAAGGGGAAAAACCTATTATCGAACGTAAAGCTGTTTCTTAGAGGATCTTATGCTCGGATGTTTAGCTAGCTATATTAATGCGTATTTTGTATGTGAAGAGAATACAAAATACCTCGGGATAACTCGTACACGTGTGGGAGCATAAATGTACAGTTCAACAATGTATTTTGCTACACAGCAAAAGGAGTAACAGCAAAATTTAACAACATATACATAAGCAAGCAAATTAGCCACAAAACCAAGCTGATCATCTTAAAAACATACGTTTTCGGCACAGCTTTGTATGCCTGCGAAACTTTGACACTAAAAAAGATTGAGAGGGACAAAATACCGGCATTTTAAATGTACTCCGGGGCATTCAGGAGGATACGACATCTTAGTTGGGCACAAAGAGTGACGAACGTACATGTAGGATAAAGGTTGAGTATAACAGAAAAGTTGATGCAAGTGGTAATGAGAATGAAACCGAGCTTGTTTGGCACATATGCAGGATGGAGAACGATGGGAAAATAAAAACTTTAATGATGGGAATGATGGAGGGAACAGGAAGAAGAGGAAGACCTTGTAGGGAATTGCTGGATGACATAAGAGATTGGTGCCGGAGAGGTGTGGCATAGCCTCAGCGTGTTGCCACAGGATAGAGGGAAGTGGAAACAAGTGACACACATTGCTTTCTGCCCATGGAGTTTGATGATGATGATGATGACAGAGCCCTAATTCTATGCTGCCCACTGTTGCCCATCAGCTTATAATGCCTTTTATGCGTGGTGATTGCCCACCCATCCCTGCTTTACTTCATAGATCAGGCACTTTCTAAGGAATTTAATCAAAAGATAATATGAACAGCTTTTGTCGATACTGAGTTTATCCCAGGCTGTCTTTGCACATTGAGAGAAAAACACAAAATAAAATGTACAGTCAACAACATAGTACTCCACTGACATCATTGTAACCTCATTGTGTAATTATTAGAGGAGTCTACTTGTCCATAACATTGAAATATATTTTTTCTCATTCACAAAGTTTCTACAATAACCTAGATCATACACCCCAAGTTTACATTCACAACATTATACCTTTTAGTATTTTGAGTTCCAATAGAATAAATGTACGCATAATGTCACTTGCAGTGATAGCCGACTTCTAAATAACAATATGAAAATCTTGTAACCGTCTGCAGTGTGCGACTTTGTCGGGGAGAAACTCGCTGACCTTTTCGGGATCACCACCGCAAAGTACCAGTACGCCATCGACGAATACAACAGGAGCAAGGAGGAGGTGCCTTCACGTGCACATGCACACAACACAACTTCACGAATAATCTGTAGAGGACTGTGTGGCTCAACATGGAGGAGAAAAAGCTTGCCATATTTTATACATCTGCTACTGAGAAGTTGCTTTTGGCAGGACACGTTGTTAGAATGGATGTTGGCCACGATAAATGGAACCATGAATGAGCTCGTGTGCAGGAGCTCGGTGGATTGGTGCAGTGCAGGACTGGGACGGATGGGAATGGCTTGGGGAGGCCTTCACCCAGTAGTGGATTAATCACCGCTGATGATGATGATGACTGCCCCCCAGGAGGAGGAGGAGGAGATGGAGGACCGCCTCTCTGAGGAGGCCCAGCGTCGCCTCGACGAGCGGAGCCAGCACACCGAGACGCAGCAGCCTTCCCCATCCGTGGGCGGCCAGGCCTCCCCCTGTGCGGATAACGGGGGGCCCGAGCCGACGTGCGTGGCCATGGTGTGAGAAGCCCCTCACGCCCCGCGTATCACAATTACACCGTGACCACTGCTGTACCTGTTGGGGTGGGTCCCGTGCCTTATTTCTATACATTTGTACATTGAGCTATTTATTTTGATTTTAATTGGAGGCTAGAGTGCAATGGCAGGAATACAGTAAAGACTATGACACCACACACTCCAACATACATCGTAGACGGTGGCACGACAGCTTCAGTTTGACAAGCATGAGGTGAGCAGAGTCTTACGAATAGTGGGGCCGCCTCACGTTGAATAGCTTTCTTTAAATTGCCTTTTTTTTTTACACATCCAATCTGTTGCACAGTGTTTATTAGACATGTAACGATTCACCAATGTTGATTAAAACTGATCCCAATGGTCACAAGACGACTAAATAATATGTAAATGTTACCTTTGGACTCCCTACTCAGGTCCACTCAAGAACTTACTTTTTTACTCTGCCTGTAACTGACCGCATATTTCTCTCTCCGCAATAGGCCCACTGTCACTGTATGGGCGTCGTAAGGTGTGGTTGCATTTAGACACAATATGAAGCAATGTTTTATTGCATAATTGGTTGGCACAAATGAGACTGAACAAACGAGAGAGTAAAATAAGAGTACAAACAGGACAAAAACATTCTAAATTCTTTAATCAAATTATGACCGCCAAATCTTGCCAATTGCTCTTAACTGCGGCGAGTGAGAAGGTGAATCGTTACTTGCCGTAGTTAATCTTTTATTCTCGAGGTGATTATCTGAGTTGGTGCGTGGTAATTAATGTCTGCATGTGCGTCTTTCTGGTGAGGCGTTGGAGGCCTGTACTTTACTGCTCCGTAAACAGCTAGGCATACATTTATTCAGCAATGCAGGTGGTGGATCGCTATAGGAAGGCCCGCGATATGGCTACGCGCCACTCGGTTTGCCCACGATGGCACCGCATCTAGCATTTGTAAGTGAATGGCAGCAAACTTGTTGGTGGTAAATTGGCACGGCTGGATGTACGATGGTGAAACCTGGACTTCTCCACGCAAGGCATGATTGTGTACTGGTTGCACATATTCGGGCGGAATGCGAGTGGTCGTAAAATGTGTAGGCGACGTAGATATAAGTGATAAATGCAGAATGGGGTTTTGTTTACTCTGATCCAGTATTTATGAATAAATGTATCGTATATATCACAGCGTCGTTGTGGAAATTTACACGTGGTTCGCTCACTTGGGCGCTACAAGCCTGGGGAATCAATTCCATTCCCAGCCACGGATCACATCAGAGGCGAGCTCACCTTTTCTGGTTCCCCTCACCTACCCGCACTCACTACTATGAGGAAGTATGGTCAAACAACCTTGATGACAGACACAGCTTGGGGTGGCCATCATCCAGCAATTAATTGAGAAGCAGGTGTAATTTATTATGGAAATTCGAAACGACATGAAACGAAAATGCACCCTACGAAAATCTGGCAGAGCAATTAGCGCGACGAAGACGTCTTACTATCGGAGTGCCCTTGAGGCGGTGGGTGCCAGCGGTGGTGCTGGTGCCTGAGGCCAGCTCGCGTGCTTAGGCGCCAGCGCGCTCCGTCGTGCCGTGGCGGTGCGCGTGCTCTCGGTTCTGCTTGAGGATCTTGCTGATGTGGTACTCGCTGTCATGCCCGGCTTCCGCCAGCCGCAGGTCGAGCTCTGTCAGCGTGCGGTTGTGGCTCATCCCCTCCTGCAGCTGCTTTCCTCCGTCCTGTGGCAAGAGAGCGATCATCACCAGAGGCCATGCGTGTGGTTGCCAATGAAGAAGGTTTAGCATGCTCCAGGAAGAATTAGGTGCAAATCCACACACTGGGTGTCCAGGAATAAGTCGGAAACAACGTGAACTTTTTATAAGTTGTCACTTTTTTACATTTCTCAAAACTGAATTGTTTCTCTTTTACAGCCACTACTGGCATCTTGTCCTGTGACATGCACTCTGTTCTACACTCGCGTCTTGTTTATGAGTACATCATTGGATGGAAGTTGACGCCCGTAGATTATTTCGACTTAAAATTAATTGTTCTAAAATCATTTATTTCAGAATATAAAGGACAAGCACACGTTCATCCTTTATTGTGAGAAGAATAAGTTTCCGTGGAAGGAGATGCATATGTGTTCGATTGATTTTTACAAAGTTTTTTTTATCGATGGCACTTGACCAAATTTTTTTTTTAATCGGACACCCAGCATGAGTAGTCGAGTCATGAGCAATGAGTATCGGGACTCACGTTCCCCAAGCGATTGCAGGAGAGGTCGATGGTGTGCAGGCTCGTGTTTAGCGCTACGGCGTGAGCGAGCGCCGTTGCCGTGGGCTCCGACATCTCATTTCCCCCCAGGTACAGCTCCACGACCGAGGAATTGCACTGTAGCGCACGGCCCAACGCCTGCCCAGCCTCGTCCCCGAGGCGGTTGAGGCGGAGGTTGAGCACTCGCAGCGTCGCGTTCCGGGAAATGGCATGCGCCAGCGCCTGCCCACCGTGCCCGCCGACCCTGTTGTCGCACAGGTTGAGCGCCGTCAGCCGGCTGCGGTTGAGCAGCTTGCCCAGCGCCCTGGCGCCGCGGTCCCCGACGAGGTTGTGCGACAGGTCGAGCACCAGCAGCGAGGGGTGGTCGAGCAGCTGCCGCACGAGCGCGCGCACCGCCTCGTCGCCCACGCGGCTGCGGTGCAGCCTCAGCACCCGCAGCGTGCGGCAGCTCTTGACGGCGCGCGCCAGCGACTCGCAGTCGCGCCCCGTGAACTCGAACAGGCTCCACTCGAAGTTCATGCCGCAGCTCCTCACGCCGTAGGCGACGTGCAGCTCCTCGAGGTGCGGCAGCTGCCCCGCGATGGAGCCGAAGTCGAAGTGGTCGACGCTGGGGCCCTCGGCACCGTCGTCGCTGCCCGCGTCGGACGAGTCGTCGGCTGCCGGCGCCGCTTCCCTGATGGGTGGGAGGAGCTGTCCCACGTCGAGGCAGCGCACGAAGGGGCCGCAGGCCGCCGCGGCCTCCCGCACGACGCTGGGATCTGTCGTGTCCGGGACGTAGAGCTCGATGAGGGCCTGCAGGTGCCGCTCCAGGAACATGCGCTTCCAGCTGTTACCGTGGCTCAGGACGTCGCCCACGACCCTGTTGGCCTGGCAGCGGCGGCGCCAGTAGCCCTCGTCGCCGACGAGGGCGGCCGCGAGGGTGAGGGGCAGCTGCGTGGAGATCCGCGCCAGCACAGCGGTACGATGCTTGGGCAGCAGCGCATCCAGCACCGGGTGGTCTGTGGGTGACAGGGAGACGACCAGGATCGTGGGAGAGGTAATGAGCGAAAGGACATGAGAGAGGGGTAGTCGGAGATTAAGAATGGGAGAATGAAAGATCGAGTGAGTAAGCAGGAAACGTGGTGTGGTGTATTGATCTGCACCCCGGTCACCATTTTAAAATCCACGTCTGTTCTCAATAGGTTCTTAGTAATCACAGTATTTTTCAGCCTTTGCACTGCTAGATGCAGGCCGACCCATGCTGAACGGGTAATTGGGCTTATTGGACCAAGCTTGTCAGTCCATGTTAGTGAAGATGGAGGTCAAACATGGGAGCATTGAAAGTACAGAACATGTATTTTTCTGTAATTCCCTCTGATTTCAAAAGCATAGCAATGCGGGTTACCCAGTTATAATAAATAGCTGTTGAGCATGAGAGGGAGACACCTTAGAGACTCAGGAATCGAGACGTGTTCACAAAATGTGCAACCATTGACCTCCGTGCCACGTTTTATACCATTGGCCATGAGGTCCTTGAGAGATTATAACACCAGATGGGATTTCTGGTGCTACCGTGCAGTGGTTTTGCTCTTGGAGAAATGCATGCACTTTGTCATAATGGATTACTTTAAATCTCAATCGCACCTGTTCATTAGGGTGTTCCACAAGGATCTGTACTTGGTCCCTCACGTTTCAATGCCCCACATGGCTCCTTTGGGCATTCTGCTACAACATGTGGGCTTATCTTAACACTGGTATGCTGATGAAGTGCACATTTACGTCCAGTACGGCTCTTGACTCTGCGATGGCAGTTTCTGTACTGTCTGCGGCATTAAAATTCGTCACAACTTATTTGACCAAATGCCGACAAAATCGAGGCCATATTCGTTGGCTCCCCTCCGCAGTTATATATAATTGGTTTGCAACATTTGTCACCGGATGGTCACGATGTCTGCCCATTATAGGTCAGAAATCTTGGTGGTCAGTTTGACCAGTCCCTGTCCTTTAATTCCTGCCACCTAATGACTTTGAGAGGCTGGTCCAGGAGTGCATGTTCCCCTGACTTGATTGCTGCCACGCATTACTGTTTGGGATTCCGAGTAAGGTACTGGGTAGGACTCCAGCTTGTTCAGAATGCAGCTGCTGGAGCGCGTGTGCGCACGCCGTTTTGTGAGCACATCGCACACCCGCTCTCCTGTCCTTTGCACTGGCTGGCTACCAGTTAAGTACTGGGTGGACTATCACCTGCAAGCCTCACAATACTTGCAGCAACTGATCCATGTTTATACTCCAACCAGCTTTGCTACCCGGCTTCGCCCGGGACTTGGATTCACCACGCCCGGCCGCCTTTGTCCCCCCAGTGGCGATATTCACACCACAGCAGTTACTCGTTTGAGGCTGAGTCGACCTAGGGGAGGCCCAGGACCGGTTCAAATAATCGTCACCGGTGGTGGCCGTGAGCGGGAATCGAACTCGGGTTGCCGGGTTCGTAGCGCGGCGCGCTACCCACGACACTACAATGCGTGACGCTTCCACATGCGCGGGTCACGTGACAGATGTGACGTCCCCCCCCCCCCCCCCCAAAAAAAAACACAAAAGTGTATTTTTATAATTTTTGCATGGTGTACAGTCTGGAAAGTACCCACATGGCACATTTCAAGTTTGTTGCATGTCGGGAAGTAGCTAAACATGTTGAACAGACACACATACTCACAACTTGGCCTTGTATATAGATGGAGATGGAGACAAGGCCCCTTCGGATCACCTTCTAAGTACTCCACTGTCAAGGCTCATTTCCTGGGGTGCAACTTTCAGTATATGGAACAATTTGCCTTTGGTAACGAGACAGTCGTTAGAACTATTTAAGTCTGTCTTGAAAACTCACCTCTTTAAATTGCCCTTTACCTCGTAGCTCTAGCCGTTTACTCTGGTTCTGTTTCTTTCCTGCTTTCCATACACGGTGCATTAGGAGCTATGGATGAAATTCGCGTTACAAATGTAAATATTCCCACACCCGGCACACCACTTTCAGTATACCGATCGCTATGGTTGTGGTGACGAGTGACATGCCGTCTACTACTGAAAAATTAAGCATCGGGTAGAAAGACAAAGATCCACCTTGCAGATGGAACAGATTGTTTGGGCAAGCGCTGTTAGCGAGCACCGAGGGGGCGGGTGGCCAGCGCCAGGCCCGGCCGCCTTTGTCTCCCCACGGCGATGTTTACACATCACAGCAGGTACTCATTTGAGGCTGAGTCGACCAGGGGGAGGCCCAGGACCAGTTCAGATAATTGTCACTATTGATGGCTGTGAACAGGAATCGAACTCGGGTGGCCGGGTTCGTAGGGCAGCACGCTAAATACCACTCCGCTACCTCCCCACACTACTACCTCGGCCACCATTACCACGAACGCCACCATTAACAACGGCGCATGGTAACACCTCCATTTACACAAAGTCCATCACTATCAGCTCCCTCCACAACCACGACCACTGCTACCAAAAACAAATACCTCCGTGTAGCCCGAGACCGTTGGAGCAAGTGATGTTAGCCATCACTACCACCAACACGACAACCTGCACTACCACCACAACCATCACTATTACCGCCATCTCTGCTACCTCAATAACCTCGATCACTACATCTACCACTATTACCGCTGATCCCACTTCCATAACCACCGCCGCCACTACCTCCACTTCCATGACCACCACCACCATCATCATCTTCTGTTGCGTGTAGTCGCTTGAAGATGTTTCTTGTTCATGTTTTTGTTGCAGTTGCACCCGAGTCAAGAGCCGCATGGCTCACAGGGTTATCATCTTCTCCACATATATATAAAAGGCAAAGTTGTGATTATGTGTGTCTGTTAAAAATGTTTAGCTACTTCCCGACATGCAACAAACTGCAAATTTGCCATGTCGGTACTTTCCAGACTGTACACCATGCTAAAATTATTAAAATACACTTTTGTGGGTTTTTTGGGGGGGGGGAGCTCAATAATGCAGATTTTTTTTGCACGGCAAATGAGCTGTGACGTCACATCTGTCACGTGACCCGCACACGTGGAAGCGTAACGCGTTGTAGTGTCGTTGGGTAGCGCGCTGCGCTACGAACCCGGCGACCCGAGTTCGATTCCCGCTCGCGGCCACCACCGGTGACGATTTCAACCGCTCTTGGGCCCTCTCCTAGGTCGACTCAGCCTCAAACGAGTAACTGCTGTGGTGTGTGAACATCGCCACCGGGGAGACAAAGGCGGCCGGGCGTGGTGGATCCAAGTCCCGGGCGAAGCCGGGTAGTACAGCTCGTACCTAATCAATGCAACTGAAATCACGACGAGCCGAGCGGCAACCCCCCCCCCCCCCCCACAACGGCACGCACGCTCGAAGTTGCTGACGATGGCGTCGAGGCTGAGGTGGGCGAGTCGCGGCACCGTAGCCAGGTTCCACTCGGGGTCCTCGGCCACGATGCGGCGCGTGGCGCGGGGGTGGGACGCGGCGGGGTTCGCTCCACGCCCGGGGGCTGCCGGGGGGACCCTGGGCTCCGTCACCCCTGCGGACGTCGTCATCGTCTCCCTGTGCGGCGGGGTAGAGGGGAGGGGGGGGGGGCACGTGAGTCATCGAGTGTGTTCATACCTGGGGTGCCGCGTTGTGTTTCACGCACTGCGCTATGCACCTGCCGTGCAGAGTTCGATTCTTGGCCGTGGCTCGCATGAGTGGCGAGTTGTCACCTGGGATCAGTCCTGGCCACTGCCTTCACCAAGCCGAATATGACCAGCGCGGTGTAGTATGGCTAAATAATAATTAGCCATACTTCACCACGCTGGTCAGTGCACGTTTCAAGGCGAGGAGCACAGGACGGCAGCACTATTGCTCTCTGCTCCCCACAACTCTGTACTGTTTGTCTATGCCGAGATCAATAATCTCGCTCAGCGACGGGCCTCCATAGAACCCAATGTGTAGTGTATAGTGTAGTGTATAGTAGTGTATAGTAGTGTAGTGTATAGTGTAGTGTATAGTAGTGTATAGTAGTGTAGTGTATAGTAGTGTAGTGCATAGTAGTGTATAGTGTAGTGTATAGTAGTGTATAGTGTAGTGTATAGTAGTGTAGTGCATAGTAGTGTATAGTGTAGTGTATAGTAGTGTAGTGTATTGTATAGTAGTGTAGTGTATAGTAGTGTAGTGTATAGTGTATTGTAGTGCCTCCATAGAGCCCAATGTGTTTTCGCTTACCGACCATTCCCCTGTTAACGACGGGCTGTTATAGGTACAGCAAATATTAACGCATCGATTAACCACGTTTCTTTTAATATTACGTATTTAGGTGGTATCTTCGTGAATTGTATAGCCATTAAATTTCGATTTAAAGCTTTCGTGACTGCAGGGATTTCATATTCTTGGTCGTATGAATTGTATTGTTTTATTTTTATTATTTTATTATTTCTCTTCTACGTGACTTTACCGAAAGAACCAAGAATATGTATATCTATTGTTTAAACGTAAACAAGTACGTTTTTCGGGTGAAACGGGGTCAACTTTCGATGCTTTCGGATCGAGTTGAGTCTTTAACGTGCATTTCCTATTCCTCGCTTAACAACCGCTTTCGTGGAACACATTCCCGTCGTTAAGAGGGGCTCTCTATACACGGCGGTGAGTGATGGTGAGTGATGTACACGGTGATGGTGAGTGGTGAGTGGTGGTGAGTGATGTATACGGTGATGGTGAGTGGTGGTGAGTGATGGTGAGTGATGTACACGGTGATGGTGAGTGGTGGTGAGTGATGTACACGGTGATGGTGAGTGGTGGTGAGTGATGGTGAGTGATGTACACGGTGATGGTGAGTGGTGGTGAGTGGTGGTGAGTGATGGTGAGTGATGATGAGTGATGTACACGGTGGTGGTGAGTGATGGTGAGTGGTGGTGAATTGGTGTGAGTGGTGGTGAGTGGTGGTGAGTGGTGGTGAGTGGTGGTGAGTTGTGTTGAGTGGTGGTGAGTGATGGTGAGTGGTGGTGAGTTGGTGTGAGTGGTGGTGAGTGGTGGTGAGTGGTGGTGAGTTGTGTTGAGTGGTGGTGAGTTGTGTTGAGTGGTGGTGAGTGATGGTGAGTGGTGGTGAGTTGGTGTGAGTGGTGGTGAGTGGTGGTGAGTGGTGGTGAGTTGGTGTGAGTGATGGTGAGTTGGTGTGAGTGGTGGTGAGTGATGGTGAGTGGTGGTGAGTGTTGGTGAGTGGTGGTATGTGGTGGTGAGTGATGGTGAGTGGTGGTGTGTGGTGGTGAGTGGTGGTGAGTGATGGTGTGTGATGGTGAGTGGTGGTGAGTGGTGGTCTGTGATGGTGAGTGATGGTGTGTGATGGTGAGTGATGGTGAGTGATGGTGAGTGGTGGTGAGTGATGGTATGTGATGGTGAGTGGTGGTGATTGGCGGTGAGTGGTGGTGAGTGGTGGTGAGTGGTGAGTGGTGGTGAGTGATGTACACGATGGTGAGTGGTGGTGAGTGGTGGTGAGTGGTGAGCGGTGGTGAGCGGTGGTGAGTGATGGTAAGTGGTGGTGAGTGATGGTAAGTGGTGGTGAGTGATGGTGAGTGGTGGTGAGTGATGGTGAGTGGTGGTGAGTTGGTGTGAGTGGTGGTGAGTGGTGGTGAGTGATGGTGAGTGGTGGTGAGTTGGTGTGAGTGGTGGTGAGTGGTGTTGAGTGATGGTGACTGGTGGTGAGTGATGGTGAGTGGTGGTGAGTTGGTGTGAGTGGTGGTGAGTGGTGGTGAGTGGTGGTAAGTGATGGTGAGTTGGTGTGAGTGGTGGTGGTGAGTGGTGGTGAGTGGTGGTGGTGAGTGGTGGTGAGTGGTGGTGAATGGTGAGTGGTAGGGAGTGGTGGTGAGTGGTGAGTGGTGGTGAGTGATGGTGAGTTGGTGTGAGTGGTGGTGGTGAGTGGTGGTGAGTGGTGGTGGTGAGTGGTGGTGAGTGGTGGTGAATGGTGAGTGGTAGTGAGTGGTGGTGAGTGGTGGTAAGTGATGGTGAGTTGGTGTGAGTGGTGTTGGTGAGTGGTGGTGAGTGGTGGTGGTGAGTGGTGGTGAATGGTGAGTGGTAGTGAGTGGTGGTGAGTGGTGAGTGGTGGTGAGTGGTGAGTGGTGGTGAGTGGTGGTGAGTGGTGAGTGGTGGTGAGTGGTGGTGAGTGGTGGTGAGTGATGATGGTGAGTGGTGAGTGGTGGTGAGTGATGGTGGTGAGTGGTGAGTGGTGGTGAGTGGTGGTGAGTGGTGAGTGGTGGTGAGTGGTGAGTGGTGGTGAGTGGTGGTGGTGAGTGGTGGTGAGTGGTGAGTGATGGTGAGTGGTGGTGAGTGGTGGTGAGTGGTGAGTGGTGGTGAGTGGTGGTGAGTGATGGTGGTGAGTGGTGAGTGGTGGTGAGTGGTGAGTGGTGGTGAGTGGTGAGTGGTGATGAGTGGTGGTGAGTGATGGTGAGTGGTGGTGGTGAGTGGTGAGTGGTGGTGAGTGGTGATGAGTGGTGGTGAGTGATGGTGAGTGATGGTGAGTGGTGGTGAGTGGTGGTGGTGATGGTGAGTGATGGTGAGTGATGGTGGTGAGTGGTGGTGAGTGGTGGTGGTGAGTGATGGTGAGTGATGGTGGTGAGTGGTGGTGAGTGGTGGTGAGTGGTGAGTGATGGTGGTGAGTGGTGGTGAGTGATGGTGAGTGGTGGTGAGTGGTGGTGGTGAGTGGTGGTGAGTGGTGGTGAGTGGTGAGTGATGGTGAGTGATGGTGAGTGGTGGTGAGTGATGGTGAGTGGTGGTGTGTAATGGTGTGTGATGGTGAGTGGTGAGTGGTGGTGAGTGATGGTGAGTGATGGTGGTGAGTGGTGGTGAGTGGTGGTGAGTGATGGTGAGTGATGGTGGTGAGTGGTGGTGAGTGATGGTGAGTGGTGGTGGTGAGTGGTGGTGAGTGGTGGTGAGTGGTGGTGAGTGATGGTGAGTGATGGTGAGTGGTGGTGAGTGATGGTGAGTGGTGGTGAGTGATGGTGAGTGATGGTGAGTGGTGGTGAGTGGTGGTGAGTGATGGTGAGTGGTGGTGAGTGATGGTGAGTGGTGGTGTGTGATGGTGTGTGATGGTGAGTGGTGAGTGGTGGTGAGTGATGGTGAGTGATGGTGGTGAGTGGTGGTGAGTGGTGGTGAGTGATGGTGGTGAGTGGTGGTGAGTGGTTAGTGGTGGTGAGTGATGGTGTGTGATGGTGAGTGGTGAGTGGTGGTGAGTGGTGGTGAGTGATGATGGTGAGTGGTGGTGGTGAGTGGTGAGTGGTGGTGAGTGATGGTGAGTGATGGTGGTGAGTGGTGGTGAGTGGTGGTGGTGAGTGGTGAGTGGTGGTGAGTGATGGTGAGTGGTGGTGGTGAGTGGTGAGTGGTGGTGAGTGATGGTGAGTGATGGTGGTGAGTGGTGGTGAGTGGTGGTGGTGAGTGGTGAGTGGTGGTGAGTGATGGTGAGTGGTGGTGGTGAGTGGTGAGTGGTGGTGAGTGATGGTGAGTGATGGTGGTGAGTGGTGGTGAGTGGTGGTGGTGAGTGGTGAGTGGTGGTGAGTGATGGTGAGTGGTGGTGGTGAGTGATGGTGAGTGATGGTGGTGAGTGGTGGTGAGTGGTGGTGGTGAGTGGTGAGTGGTGGTGAGTGATGGTGAGTGGTGGTGGTGAGTGATGGTGAGTGATGGTGAGTGGTGGTGAGTGATGGTGAGTGGTGGTGAGTGAGTGGTGAGTGATGGTGAGTGATGGTGAGTGGTGGTGAGTGGTGAGTGGTGGTGAGTGGTGGAGTGGTGAGTGGTGAGTGGTGGTGAGTGGTGGTGAGTGGTGAGTGGTGAGTGGTGGTGAGTGGTGAGTGGTGGGAGTGGTGTGGTGGTGAGTGGTGAGTGATGGTGAGTGGTGAGTGGTGAGTGGTGAGTGGGTGAGTGGTGGTGAGTGGTGGTGAGTGGTGAGTGGTGGTGAGGTGGTGAGTGGTGGTGAGTGGTGGTGAGTGAGGTGAGTGGTGGTGAGTGGATGGTGAGTGGTGGTGAGTGGTGGTGAGTGATGGTGAGTGGTGGTGAGTGGTGGTGAGTGGTGGTGAGTGGTGGTGAGTGATGGTGAGTGGTGGTGAGTGGTGGTGAGTGATGGTGAGTGGTGGTGAGTGGTGGTGAGTGGTGGTGAGTGGTGGTGAGTGATGGTGAGTGGTGGTGAGTGAGTGGTGAGTGGTGGTGAGTGGTGGTGAGTATGGTGAGTGGTGGTGAGTGATGGTGAGTGGTGGTGAGTGGTGGAGTGAGTGGTGGGTGAGTGGTGAGTGGTGGTGAGTGATGGTGAGTGGTGGTGAGTGGTGGTGAGTGTGGTGGTGAGTGGTGGTGAGTGGTGGTGAGTGGTGGTGAGTGGTGAGTGGTGGTGAGTGATGGTGGTGAGTGGTGGTGAGTGGTGGTGGTGAGTGGTGAGTGGTGGTGAGTGATGGTGAGTGGTGGTGGTGAGTGAGGTGAGTGATGGTGGTGAGTGGTGGTGAGTGGTGGTGGTGAGTGGTGAGTGGTGGTGAGTGATGGTGAGTGGTGGTGGTGAGTGATGGTGAGTGATGGTGAGTGGTGGTGAGTGATGGTGAGTGGTGGTGAGTGATGGTGAGTGGTGGTGAGTGGTGGTGAGTGGTGAGTGGTGGTGAGTGGTGAGTGGTGGTGAGTGGTGGTGAGTGGTGAGTGGGTGAGTGGTGGTGAGTGGTGAGTGGTGAGTGGTGGTGAGTGGTGAGTGGTGGTGAGTGGTGAGTGGTGGTGAGTGGTGAGTGGTGGTGAGTGGTGAGTGATGGTGAGTGGTGGTGAGTGGTGAGTGGTGAGTGGAGGTGAGTGGTGGTGAGTGGTGGTGAGTGGTGAGTGGTGGTGAGTGGTGGTGAGTGGTGGTGAGTGGTGGTGAGTGATGGTGAGTGGTGGTGAGTGATGGTGAGTGGTGGTGAGTGGTGGTGAGTGGTGGTGAGTGGTGGTGAGTGATGGTGAGTGGTGGTGAGTGAGTGGTGGTGAGTGGTGGTGAGTGGTGGTGAGTGGTAGTGAGTGATGGTGAGTGGTGGTGAGTGGTGGTGAGTGGTGGTGAGTGGTGAGTGGTAGTGAGTGGTGGTGAGTGATGGTGAGTGATGGTGAGTGGTGGTGGTGAGTGGTGGTGAGTGATGGTGAGTGATGGTGAGTGGTGGTGAGTGGTGAGTGATTTTCACGTGAACCTCTCCGGGTGAAGTCTCCGCTGCGACTGAGCGCGTCCCTCGTCTCCATGGCGACGACCTCTGCCTGACCCCGCCGCGAGCGGAAGCCGCGGTGGTCAAAACCGCGATTCGTAATTCACTCGCCGGTCTCTTATACGGCCACGGATGAGGGCCATTGCTCGAAACGTCGCCTTATTATATACAATATACAAGGGTTCCTCTACTTACGAACGGGGCGAGGTTCCAGAGGTCTGTTCGTAAGTTAAACTGATCTACCGTAGATTACAAACACGTATACGGCATGTACAACTACAAGTTGAACAATATCCTACAGATGTAGATGCCGCTGGTTCTTCACATTCTACAGATGTAGATGCCACTGGTTCTTCATGTCCTGCAGATGTAGATGCCGCTGGTTCTTCATGTCCTGCAAATGTAGATGCCGCTGGTTCTTCATGTCCTGCAGATGTAGATGCCACTGGTTCTTCATGTCCTGCAGATGTAGATGCCACTGGTTCTTCACATTCTACAGATGTAGATGCCACTGGTTCTTCATGTCCTGCAGATGTAGATGCCGCTGGTTCTTCATGTCCTGCAGATGTAGATGCCGCTGGTTCTTCACATTCTACAGATGTAGATGCCACTGGTTCTTCATGTCCTGCAGATGTAGATGCCGCTGGTTCTTCATGTCCTGCAGATGTAGATGCCGCTGGTTCTTCATGTCCTGCAGATGTAGATGCCACTGGTTCTTCATGTCCTGCAGATGTAGATGCCACTGGTTCTTCATGTCCTGCAGATGTAGATGCCGCTGGTTCTTCATGTCCTGCAGATGTAGATGCCGCTGGTTCTTCATGTCCTGCAGATGTAGATGCCGCTGGTTCTTCATGTCCTGCAGATGTAGATGCCACTGGTTCTTCATGTCCTGCAGATGTAGATGCCACTGGTTCTTCATGTCCTGCAGATGTAGATGCCGCTGGTTCTTCATGTCCTGCAGATGTAGATGCCACTGATTCTTCATGTCCTGCAGATGTAGATGCCACTGGTTCTTCATGTCCTGCAGATGTAGATGCCACTGGTTCTTCATGTCCTGCAGATGTAGATGCCACTGGTTCTTCATGTCCTGCAGATGTAGATGCCACTGGTTCTTCATGTCCTGCAGATGTAGATGCCACTGGTTCTTCATGTCCTGCAGATGTAGATGCCACTGGTTCTTCATGTCCTGCAGATGTAGATGCCACTGGTTCTTCATGTCCTGCAGATGTAGATGCCACTGGTTCTTCACATTCTACAGATGTAGATGCCACTGGTTCTTCACGTTCTACAAATGTAGATGCCACTGGTTCTTCACATTCTACAGATGTAGATACCACTGGTTCTTCACATTCTACAGATGTAGATGCCACTGGTTTTTCACATTCTACAGATGTAGATGCCACTGGTTCTTCACATTCTGCAGATGTAGATGCCACTGGTTCTTCACATTCTACAGATGTAGATGCCACTGGTTCTTCACATTCTGCAGATGTAGATGCCACTGGTTCTTCACATTCTACAGATGTAGATGCCACTGGCTCTTCACGCTCTGCAGATGTAGATGCCACTGGTTCTTCAAATTCTACAGATGTAGATGCCACTGGCTCTTCATGTCCTGCAGATGTAGATGCCACTGGTTCTTCACATTCTACAGATGTAGATGCCACTGGCTCTTCACGCTCTGCAGATGTAGATGCCACTGGTTCTTCACATTCTACAGATGTAGATGCCACTGGCTCTCCATGTCCTGCAGATGTAGATACCACTGGCTCTTCACGTTCTACAGATGTAGATGCCACTGGCTCTTCATGTCCTGCAGATGTAGATGCCGCTGGTTCTTCACATTCTACAGATGTAGATGCCACTGGCTCTTCATGTCCTGCAGATGTAGATGCCGCTGGTTCTTCACATTCTACAGATGTAGATGCCGCTGGTTCTTCACATTCTACAGATGTAGATGCCGCTGGTTCTTCACATTCTACAGATGTAGATGCCGCTGGTTCTTCACATTCTACAGATGTAGATGCCGCTGGTTCTTCACATTCTACAGATGTAGATGCCGCTGGTTCTTCACATTCTACAGATGTAGATGCCGCTGATTCTTCACATTCTGCAGATGTAGATGCCACTGGTTCTTCATGTCCTGCAGATGTAGATGCCGCTGGTTCTTCATGTCCTGCAGATGTAGATGCCGCTGGTTCTTCATGTCCTGCAGATGTAGATGCCACTGGTTCTTCATGTCCTGCAGATGTAGATGCCACTGGTTTTTCATGTCCTGCAGATGTAGATGCCGCTGGTTCTTCATGTCCTGCAGATGTAGATGCCGCTGGTTCTTCATGTCCTGCAGATGTAGATGCCGCTGGTTCTTCATGTCCTGCAGATGTAGATGCCACTGGTTCTTCATGTCCTGCAGATGTAGATGCCACTGGTTCTTCATGTCCTGCAGATGTAGATGCCGCTGGTTCTTCATGTCCTGCAGATGTAGATGCCGCTGGTTCTTCATGTCCTGCAGATGTAGATGCCACTGGTTCTTCATGTCCTGCAGATGTAGATGCCACTGGTTCTTCATGTCCTGCAGATGTAGATGCCACTGGTTCTTCATGTCCTGCAGATGTAGATGCCACTGGTTCTTCATGTCCTGCAGATGTAGATGCCACTGGTTCTTCATGTCCTGCAGATGTAGATGCCACTGGTTCTTCATGTCCTGCAGATGTAGATGCCACTGGTTCTTCATGTCCTGCAGATGTAGATGCCACTGGTTCTTCATGTCCTGCAGATGTAGATGCCACTGGTTCTTCATGTCCTGCAGATGTAGATGCCACTGGTTCTTCACATTTTACAGATGTAGATGCCACTGGTTCTTCACGTTCTACAGATGTAGATGCCACTGGTTCTTCACATTCTACAGATGTAGATACCACTGGTTCTTCACATTCTACAGATGTAGATGCCACTGGTTCTTCACATTCTACAGATGTAGATGCCACTGGTTCTTCACATTCTGCAGATGTAGATGCCACTGGTTCTTCACATTCTACAGATGTAGATGCCACTGGTTCTTCACATTCTGCAGATGTAGATGCCACTGGTTCTTCACATTCTACAGATGTAGATGCCACTGGCTCTTCACGCTCTGCAGATGTAGATGCCACTGGTTCTTCACATTCTACAGATGTAGATGCCACTGGCTCTTCATGTCCTGCAGATGTAGATGCCACTGGTTCTTCACATTCTACAGATGTAGATGCCACTGGCTCGTCACGCTCTGCAGATGTAGATGCTACTGGTTCTTCACATTCTACAGATGTAGATGCCACTGGCTCTCCATGTCCTGCAGATGTAGATACCACTGGCTCTTCACGTTCTACAGATGTAGATGCCACTGGCTCTTCATGTCCTGCAGATGTAGATGCCGCTGGTTCTTCACATTCTACAGATGTAGATGCCACTGGCTCTTCATGTCCTGCAGATGTAGATGCCGCTGGTTCTTCACATTCTACAGATGTAGATGCCGCTGGTTCTTCACGTTCTACAGATGTAGATGCCGCTGGTTCTTCACATTCTACAGATGTAGATGCCGCTGGTTCTTCACATTCTACAGATGTAGATGCCGCTGGTTCTTCACATTCTACAGATGTAGATGCCGCTGGTTCTTCATGTCCTGCAGATGTAGATGCCACTGGTTCTTCATGTCCTGCAGATGTAGATGCCGCTGGTTCTTCATGTCCTGCAGATGTAGATGCCGCTGGTTCTTCATGTCCTGCAGATGTAGATGCCACTGGTTCTTCATGTCCTGCAGATGTAGATGCCACTGGTTCTTCATGTCCTGCAGATGTAGATGCCACTGGTTCTTCATGTCCTGCAGATGTAGATGCCACTGGTTCTTCATGTCCTGCAGATGTAGATGCCACTGGTTCTTCATGTCCTGCAGATGTAGATGCCACTGGTTCTTCATGTCCTGCAGATGTAGATGCCACTGGTTCTTCATGTCCTGCAGATGTAGATGCCACTGGTTCTTCATGTCCTGCAGATGTAGATGCCACTGGTTCTTCACATTTTACAGATGTAGATGCCACTGGTTCTTCACGTTCTACAGATGTAGATGCCACTGGTTCTTCACATTCTACAGATGTAGATACCACTGGTTCTTCACATTCTACAGATGTAGATGCCACTGGTTCTTCACATTCTACAGATGTAGATGCCACTGGTTCTTCACATTCTGCAGATGTAGATGCCACTGGTTCTTCACATTCTACAAATGTAGATGCCACTGGTTCTTCACATTCTGCAGATGTAGATGCCACTGGTTCTTCACATTCTACAGATGTAGATGCCACTGGCTCTTCACGCTCTGCAGATGTAGATGCCACTGGTTCTTCACATTCTACAGATGTAGATGCCACTGGCTCTTCATGTCCTGCAGATGTAGATGCCACTGGTTCTTCACATTCTACAGATGTAGATGCCACTGGCTCGTCACGCTCTGCAGATGTAGATGCTACTGGTTCTTCACATTCTACAGATGTAGATGCCACTGGCTCTCCATGTCCTGCAGATGTAGATACCACTGGCTCTTCACGTTCTACAGATGTAGATGCCACTGGCTCTTCATGTCCTGCAGATGTAGATGCCGCTGGTTCTTCACATTCTACAGATGTAGATGCCACTGGCTCTTCATGTCCTGCAGATGTAGATGCCGCTGGTTCTTCACATTCTACAGATGTAGATGCCGCTGGTTCTTCACATTCTACAGATGTAGATGCCGCTGGTTCTTCACATTCTACAGATGTAGATGCCGCTGGTTCTTCACATTCTACAGATGTAGATGCCGCTGGTTCTTCACATTCTACAGATGTAGATGCCGCTGGTTCTTCACATTCTACAGATGTAGATGCCACTGGTTCTTCACATTCTACAGATGTAGATGCCACTGGCTCTTCACGCTCTGCAGATGTAGATGCCACTGGTTCTTCACATTCTACAGATGTAGATGCCACTGGCTCTCCATGTCCTGCAGATGTAGATACCACTGGC